TAAGGGCCCTTCCACACAGCCCTATATTCCAGAATATCAAGGCAGAAAATCCCACTATATCTGCTTTGAAAATCCCATGTCCACACTACCATATAGTCCAGTTCAAAGCAGAAAATGTGGGATTCTATTCAGCTGTGTGGAAGGGGCTTCCGTCCAAATCAAGCCCTACACTGAATCTAGAAAATGGCAGAATTTAACAGCAGTAATACTTTGGAGGGTATTGTAGAGACAGAACAGCATTTAGCACAAGCTGTTGCTTCTGAGCACTTTTCCAGTTACAGCACCTTTCTGCAGTTCAGTTAAGAGGAAATCAAGTTATGGATCACTGGGGCTAAAGGTACCATTCCTAGAAAAGAGCACAGCTGGCTTTCAACTGAAAATGGGCTAAAATACATTTGGACATAAGAGCCAGTAGGGCTTCTAGCGAAAGTGCTCATTCTGAACTCCATACCAAGGCTACTTCAGCATAGGAAAGAGAAGACTGTTTTGTATGAATCTCCAACTTTCTCTCTACCTTGCAGAATCATAGGGGAAATCATATTGCTGTATCCACTACACTGTGTTTGTTTCTGCCTTCGTTCCTTGGAATGTCAAAACAAGTCAGTTTATTTTCTCACTCCCATCTCTTTTGCTCTTTGAAGTTAATGAGTAGTATGTTGCAGGTTAGGTTCAGAGCTCCCCTTATGAGAAGAATAACTTAATATAAACTTATCAGACCATTGTCAATATTCCTCTTCATTTGTGCGTCTCAGAAAGTTAGGAGGATGGAAGACACCAAGGGAGTGAAACACAGCTCCAGCTATGCCATCATCTTTCCTGAAATCATATTGAGGTGCAGTGGTTAGAGCCAGTGTGGTTTGGTAGTTTGGGTATTGGACTGGAGAGACCAGGGTTCAAATCCCTGCTCAGCCATGGAGACCCACTGGGTGACCTTGTCACACTCTCTCAGCCTCAGAGGAAGAGAATGGCAAACCTCTTCTAAAAAATCTTGCCTGTGCTTTAGGGTTGCTACAAATTACTTCAAATAGTTAGATCAGGCATGGGCAAACCTTCTAACATGGTGGGCCAGAGAAGGGTGGGTGGACTGGGAGGGGGTTCTCCCCAAGTTCCTTCCCTGCCCTTTCCCCCTCTTCCTCTTTTGGAGGCAGAAAATGAAGGAAAGACAGGAAATGTTTGGATCCCAAAAGGGTTGGCCTTGACCAGGATGAGATGGTGAATAGGAGAGAAAAAGTGTCTCCATGAGACTCTGTATTGCCTACTCCTGATATAGAATTCTAGAGCTGGAAGAGCCCCCCAAGAACCATCCAGTCAAACCACCTGCTATGCAAGAAGGCACAATCAAAGCACTCCCAATAGACAGCCTCTGTGGAAAAGCCTCCAGAGAAGGAGATTCCACCACACCCCGAGGCAACCTATGCCACTCTCTAATAGCTCTTACTCTCAGGAAGTTCTTCCTAATCTTTTCAGCTGACCCTCTTTCCCTGCCATTTGAACCCATTGCTTCCTTGTGCCTTGGTGTCTAGAGCAGCAGAAAGTCAGTTTTCCCCCTCTTCCTCAATGGGACACCCTTTTAAATCTTGAAACATGGTCCTTATATTCCCTCTCTACCTTTGGTTCTCCCAGCTAAACATCCCCCAGGAGGAAAGGAGGAAGGAAAAAGAGAAGGAAGGGAGGCAGGAAAGGAGGTAGAGAAGGATGGATAGAAGGAAGGGAATGAAGGGAGGGAGGCAAGGAAGGAGGGAGGAAAGGATTGAGGAAAGGGTGGAAGGGAAAGAGGGCAGGAGAAAGGGGGAGGGAAGAAAAGAAGGGAGGAAGGGAAGGAAGAAGGAAAGAGAGAAGGAAGGATAGGATGGTGCGAGAGAGGGGAGCCTGGGAAAAGAGCTCAGGGGGCTGCATCCGGCCCCTGGGCCTAGGTTTGCAAATACCTGGGTTAGAGTGATGTATTGAGGCAGGGAAGACTATGATTCAAATCTTCTCTTGATCACAAAGCTCTTTGAGGGTGACCCTGGTTGGCCATGCTCTGTGTTAGTTTAACCTTCCTCACAAGGTTGCTGTCAATATATTAGGAGAGCCATGAACTTTTTGGAGAAAAGGCAAAGTATACATGTTCAGTAGACTCTCAGTTAATCTGTGGAGACAGTTAATCTGTGGAGACTGGACAAATCTAGTTTCTGGTTGCTTGAGAATTACTCTTAAAAATAGACCTAATGCTAGTGTACAATATTCAACTTAACAAACATCTCATAGTTAATAATGGGATTGAGACAACAGGAAGTGAGAAAAATGTATTCTACAGAAGGAAAATTAACTCCTGGAAAAGTTATGGGAAAAGGTATCTCCACTGAAGCTTTCTCACCCATCTTTATTTCCACAACAAGCCTTTTTTTTTTTTCAAATTCCATTTCTCACAGGGACAGAAAGTGAGGTGAAATTCTCTCAGCAGGGCACAGATAGCAAAAGAAATGCAATAGGGATGTTATCCCTTCCCTATGCTATCTAAAGTAAAATAATATATTTGGCTGGAGTTACACTTAAAATGCACATGTTCTGACTTACAAATCAATTCAACTTAAGAACAAACCCACCAAACTTACCTTGTTTGTAACTTGAGAAGTGCCTCTATAGACAAATATGTAAAATTTATGCAGAAAGCATAACAAACAAAACAGGGGTGTTAACCCTTCCCTATGCTATCCGAAGTGTGTGTATGTATGTGTGTGTGTGTGTGTGTGTGTGTGTGTGTGTGTATATATATATATATATATATATATATATATATATATATATATGCATATGTTTATATATGTGGTTATGCTGATATATGTGTGTGTGTGTGTGTATACACACACACACTTCAATATATCAGCATAACCAGAATTCAAGCACTATATGGATTACAGGCAGCCCCCCAGGTTATGAACAAGATAGGTTCTCTATTTTATTTATTTATTTACTATATGTATATCTCACCCTTTTCACCCCGAGGGGGACTTTCAAGTAGGCAACTATTCAGTGCTGCATATACAGATGTAGAATAAAATAAACATGTGTATTAAAAATCATAACATTAAAAACATCTAAAAATTAAAAACAATTATTAAAACCACACAATTCAAAATAATAGTCCAGGAGCCATTCCGCTCGTAATTGCACTTAGTCCATAACACTTGGTTCTGTATGTTTGTTATGTGTAACTCCAGCATACACACATATATGGCTAGAGTTACACTTGTGGTGGAGGCTCCTTCTGTGTGGTGGAGGCTCCTTCTTTGGAAGCTTTTAAGCAGAGGCTGGATGGCCATTTGTCAGGGGTGATTTGAATGCAATATTCCTGCTTCTTGGCAGGGGGTTGGACTGGATGGCCCATGAGGTCTCTTCCAACTCTTTGATTCTATGATTCTATGATTCTAAGGACAAACCTTACAGAACCTAACTTGTTCATAACTTGGGGACTGCCTGTACTTCATATAGTGCTTGAATTCTGGTTAATTGAGAGTCTAACTCTGTAGAGACTAGAATGGGAAGACAATTGTGCCTCTTCTTGGAAGACGAACAGGTTAAAAACCAGCTAGCAAGACCTCCTCTGAACAAATCTTGCCAAGAAAACCCCTATGCCCAGGTTGGGCTTCTGGTCGTCATGAGTCGGAAAGGAAGGCACTCAAGGAGAAGTAAGGGATACCTTCCGTTTAGCTTTTGTCTAAACCGGGTTGCCCTCCCTGATTGCTACTCCAAGGAGGAGGAGAGAGAATACTGAAGTCGCAGAATATCTTGGCTCTTTAAATCCTAGTCCCCTGGAGCTGAAGGCAGGAGAAAAGAAAGGCAGTCAGAACCACGGAGGCAGCGAGAGTCTGTTTGAGGAAGATAGGCAGCCAGGCGTTTTTCTCCATTACCAGAGGAAGGTTAGAAAGAAACACAGGACTTTGGTGGCCTCCGAAAGAAAGAGGGAGGGAGGGAGGGAGGAGGGAAGGAAGAGGGAAGGAAGAAAAGAAGGAAGGAGAGAGAGCGGGGGGGAAGAAAGAAGGAAAGAAAGAGGGAAGGAAAAAGAAAAAGAAAAAAAGGGAGAGAGGGAAGGAAGAAAGAAAGAAAAGAAAGAAGAGGGAGAAGGAGGGAAGGAAGAAGGAAGGAAGGAAGGAAAGAAAGAAAGAAAGGGAGGAGGGAAGGAAGGAAGGAAGAGGGAAGGGAGGAAGAAGAGGAAGGAAGAAAGAAAAGAAAGAGAGGGAGAAAGGAAAGAAGGAAGAGGGAAGGAAGGAAAGAAAGAAAGGAAGAGGGAGGGAAGAGGAAGAAAGGAAAGAGAAGAGAAAGAAAGAAAAAAGAAAGAGAAGGAGGGAGAGAGGAAGGAGAAGGAGAAGAAGAGAGAAGGAGAAAGAAAGAGGGAGGGAAGGAAGGAAGGAAGAGGAAAGGAAAATAAAGTGAAGGAAGGAAAAAAAAGGGAGGAAGGAGGAGAGGAAGAGGGAAGAAAGAGGAGAAAGAAGGGAAGGAAGGGAGGAAAGGAAGGAAAGAGGGAGAAAGGAAGGAAAGGAGGGAGGGAAGAGGAGAGGAGGAAAGAAAGAGGAAGGAAGGAAGGAAAAAGAAAGAAAGAGAGAGAAAGGAGGAGGAGGGAAAGAAGAAGGAAGGGGAGGAAGGAAAGAAGGAAGGGAGAAGAAAGAAGGAAGGAAGAGGAAGAAAGAAGGAAGAAAGAAGGGAGAGGAAGGGAGGAAGAGGAAAGAGAGGAAAAAGGAAAGAAAAGAGGGAAGGGAAGAAGGAGAGGAAGGAAAGAGGAGGGAAGAAAGAAGGAAGGAAAGAAAGAAGGAAAGAGGGAGGAATGAAGGAAGGAAGGAGAGGAAGGAAGGAGAAGGAAGGAAGGAAGGAAGGAAGGAGGAAGTAAAGGAAAGGAAGGAAGGAAGGAAGGAAGGAAGAAAAATAGAGAAAAAGAGAAAAAGCGAGAGAGAGCGCGCGTGAGGACGGGCAGGGGGAGGAGCGTGGGGCTGGGAGGCGTGGGCGAGGCGGGCAGGAGGAGGAAGAAAAGGCAGCGGGAGCTCCGGCCAAGCAGACACTCGGCGGCAGGTCCTCGCCCGACCATTGCCTCCGTCGCCTCTGGCTGCTTTGTTCGACGGGCTAAGAAGCCAACAAGAAGGAGGAGGAGGAGGAGGAGAGCTCTTCTTCTCCAGCCTTGGGAGAGAGGCGGGTCTCCCCTTCTCGCTGGACCTGAGTGCGACCCATGGGCGGCATCCAGGGATCCCGAAAAGTCGCCCCAGGCTCAGGCTCCACACCGCCCCTCCTCACCTGAAGGAAGTTTGCTAAAGAAGAGGCAACGGGGCTCCTGCCAGACTCGCAAAAGATGAAGTCAGGATAGCGACACATCCTGGGTCTTGTGGGGGAACCCTTCAAAGGTCGGGATGGACGCATCTCCTTTAAATACGCGGGTTTACTCTTAGAAACGGGGCTGGAGGGGGAAAGCAAGTTGATACTCAGACTCCGAGGACTCTAGCAGGTGGGTTGGTGGTGGAGAGAAAAGAAGTAGGCTGGTGTCTTTTTTAAGGGCTGGGGGATTTTTGTATTTTAGTTGATTTTAAACTAAAGTTTCTTTAGTTCCTCCCTGCTCCCCCTCACAGTTTCTTGGTCCCCCACACCACCCAAAGAATGGACCCTGAAGCCATCTCTATGAACCGGACCCAGGACTTCTCCTGGCTGGACCCCAATGCCTCCAAGCCATCCCCTGAGCAGCCCTCGAAGCACGAGGAGGGCAATGGTGGCTTCCTCTCGGAAATTGGCATTGAGAACTTTGTCACGCTGGTTGCCTTTGGCCTCATCTTCATCCTGGGGGTGCTGGGCAACTCCTTGGTCATCACGGTGCTGGCCAGGAGCCATCCGGGCAAAGTCCGGAGCACCACCAACATTTTCATCCTCAACCTGAGCATTGCCGACTTGGCCTACTTGCTCTTCTGCATCCCATTCCAGTCCACAGTGTATATGCTCCCCAGCTGGGCACTGGGCACCTTCATCTGTAAGTTTATCCACTACTTCTTCACCGTCTCCATGCTGGTTAGTATCTTCACCCTTTCAGCAATGTCGGTGGACCGCTATGTGGCCATTGTCCACTCGCGGCGCTCCTCATCCCTGCGGGTGTCCCGCAATGCTCTGTTCGGCGTAGGGGTCATCTGGCTACTCTCCATCGCTATGGCTTCACCTGTGGCTCACCACCAACGCATTGTCCACCAGGACTTCATTAACCAGACCTTCTGCTGGGAAGTGTGGCCCAATATTCAGCACAAGAAAGTCTATGTGATCTGCACGTTTGTCTTTGGGTACCTGTTGCCTCTGCTCCTCATCTCATTCTGTTATGCTAAGGTGAGTACAGTTGAATCCACTCCAAAGGATCCTTCATGAAAGTGCATGAGATCTCTGTGTAGGAAAGGCGCAGCTCTAGGGTGAAATGTGATGTACAGTAAACTAAAACAGGATGAGAGTATCACGGCCATTGGCCATACCCCAGTTACATCCCACTAGTAGCTAATTTTTTCCCTTGCTTTGTACAGAGGCATATGTGCAGCATAAAGGTATGAATGGACTTTTGCAATGAATTTTGAGTGTGTCAGAATTTTGAGTGTGTCAGATAACTTCTGCCTGGTGCAGATATAACCACATCATTTTTTGTTGTTGTTCATTCATTCAGTTTTTTCCGACTCTTCATGACCTCATGGACCAGTCCATGCCAGAGCTCCCTGTCAGCCGTCACCACCCCCAGCTCCTTCAAATTAAACATCATGTTTAATGTGAGCTAAAACATGAAGGTTACGTATTGTTGAATGCTTTCATTCTGGAATCATTAGGTTGTTGTGAGTTTCCCAGGCTGTGTGGCCATGTTCCAGAAGCGTTCTCTCCTGACGTTTTACCTGCATCTATGGCAGACATCCTCAGAAGTTGTGAGGTCTGTTGGAAAATTGGGTTTATATGTCTGTGTAATGTCCAGGGTGGGAGAAAGAACTCTTGTCTGTTTGAGGTAGGTGTGAATGTTTCAATTGGCAATCTTGATTTGCATTTAATTGCCTAGCAGTTCTGGCTTCTTACTGCCTGGGAGAATCCTTTGAAGGTTATGATTGTAAAGATTTTATTGTGTATACCAAAATTTAGATGTGAAAAACATCTCAAGTGTGATAGTTTTGGGATGGGTTTAGCTACAAAATATGAAAAAAGCACACACAGGCATGTTATCTGAATTTGAAAATAAAGTTTGCAATACTCTTAAGAGAACTCTAAAATTGTATCTGTAAACGGCTCAAATTTGACTTGTATCATCTATATTTTCAAGAGTTCTTTTAAGAGTATTGCAAACTTTATGGTTTATGTATGCAAGATCTAACTCTGACGTTTCAAGAGTGTAGTTCTGTTCCATTCACACAGTATATACATCTTCACTGTTTGTGGGTCACTTAAATGATTCATTTCTCACATGTGTCTTCAAGTCCTCTGTTGATTTATGGCAATTGCATGAATTTCGTAGACATGGCAAGAAATAATCTGAGCTGGATTCGCCAATTCTTTCTTCTGAAATATATCTTACAGCACCTGGTATTCATTGGTAGTCTTTCACCCAAGTACTTACCAGGACTGCTTTGCTTTAGGGTATTTCACTGCTCTGAATCTCCTCTGGGGTGAGATAGAGCAGGGTAGAAATACAGTAAATAAATAAATAAATACATATTTATTTATATAGCCATCTTAAAGATAGAATACATTTCCATGATCCAGCTTGCCTTCTTTGACATGTAATTAGGAGGCTGAGATTCAGAGATATCTGTATAAAAAACAACAAGATATGTTGTTGAAGGCTTCCATGCCTGGAATCACTGGGTTGTTGTGAGGTTTCTGGGATGTGAGGTGATCATTGCTTCACACTTTCCTCAAACAGATAGTTCTTTCTCCCATCCTGGACATTCCACAGACATATAAGCCCCACTTGCCTAGTTTCCAACAAAGCTGAAAACCTCTGACGATGCCTGCCATAGATGTGGGCGAAACGTCAAGAGAGAATGCTTCTGGAACATGGCCATACATACAGCCCAGAAATCTCACAGCAACCCAGCAACAGGATATGTCTGTGAGAATGTTTTTTTATATTATGACCTCCAAAGTCTTGTTGCCAGTATATGAATCATCCCCTGGGGATCAAAGTGAGTTTCCTGAAATCTGTCCCTGCAGCATTACTCGCTTTCACATGATGCTTTTACACTCCATTTCCCAAAGAGTGATCTCTAAGGAAAATTCTTTTATTTATAAGAGAAAAATGTCTGAGAACTATCCAGCATTATTAATACCAGTAGTAGTTTTGCTTCTCTTTTCAACAGTATATAGTTTGTAAGGGATAGTTTGTGAAGGCAGCAAATGATAAGAATGCCTGAAAGGCACAATCTTCTTGAAGCTTCATCACAGTTGACATTTGGCTACTGGCTAGAAAGCAACCAGTGGTAACGAACTTATTTTGACTATCTGATTGAGACAGAGGGATTCAATTGAGATGCTACAAGTGGAAGAGTCTAAACTTCACACACCCAATCATTCTCACTGAGGATCCACTTTCTGCATATTTATATCTTTGCAGTTTACACTAACTCATACATTTACTTTTGTTTCACAATGGTTTAGTTTCTACTTCTTGATAATAGGAGCTGTTTGGCAGTGAAATATGCTGCTTCAGAATATGTTGGAGACTCCTTTTTTGAATATTTGTAAATAGAGGTTAGATGACTATCTGTTGTGAATTGTTTGATTGTGTGTTCCTTCATGGCAGGGGCTTGAATTAAATGACCCTTGTGGTCTCTTCCAACTATTCTTCTACAAATCTATATTGGAAGTAATTTTACCTCTTCTTTACATATACATTTTCAGCCCCCTGGTGGCACAGCAGGTTAAACTGCTGAGCTGCTGAACTTGCTCACTGAAAGGTTGGAGGTTCAAATCCGGGGAGCAGGGTGAGCTCCCACTGTTAGGCCCAGCTTCTGCTAACCTAACAGTTCGAAAACATTCAAATGTGAGTAGGTCAATAGGTACCACTTTGGCAAGAAGGTAATGGCGGCAACTGCAGAACGGCAACTGCAATTTCACTATCATTGTCTCAAGAAAACTCTTATGGAGGACGTATTTTGTTGGATGTGGGTTGGTGAAACCATGGTATGTTTCTGCAGGGATGGGACTATGTTGTATAATCAAACAAATAGAAAGCTCTACATGTACAGAAAAACTTTGGTTAACAAAGCCTTTCTTAACGAAGCACCTTTTTATGCCTGCCCAGCCACAATACTCTGTCTAGCTGGAAGATTTTTAGCAGTATCAGCTTGAAATAATAGTGACAAGGGCAGAGATACACAGGTTTTCAGTGTCTGGCTACAACAGCATGTCTGCAATAAACAATGCAATGCAGTTGAAATGGGGGAAAAACTGGGTTCTACTCTAGCCAATGCTCCTGTCGCTGTGTGTGCCACAGTTGCCTCCAAAATCCCTTTTTTTTTGAGAATGCAAGAAATGCAAAAGGGAGCAAAAAGATCAGTCTGCCTCATCAGATCCTATAGTATGATTTTTTTTAAAAGGAAAGAACTATAAGACTGACCACCAAAATGAACATTGGAGGCTGGTGAAATAAAAAAAAGATTGTGGATGTATTTTTGAGGAAGTAAATATTTTAATTTACTTATGCAATGCTTAGCTGACCTGGTTATTTCATTTCATATCTGTCAATAGTTTTGGATAAAATATTTGCTGACAAATGTAGAACTGCTCTTTTTGTGTGATGTAGGGACTTGTTTCTATTAACTTTTTTGCTTCTTTCAGTAAATGAAGTTATGCCTCAGAACACATCTACTTTTTTAGCTGACACAGACTTGTTCTTTATGTATTTCTTAATGTTTTCTAAGAACTTGTTTTCTTATATTACTCATGCAAACTGAAAAGTATGAAAAACTTTTTTAGCACAAGTGATGCGTGATATGGTACAGTTCCCTAGTCATCCACTTTGAAGATAGTTGAATGAACACTCATCCACTGAGGTCAGAACGGCAACTGCAATTTCACTATCATTGTCTCAAGAACAATTTGCACTATGTTTTTCAGTTTCAGACTGAAGCATTTTGGCCACCCATTCTATCAATCCCTTATAAATTGTATGGGACAATGGTTTTTCCAAATGAAAAATTCTCTGTGCAGTCTTTAAGCCCGCAAAGTTTAGAGCACTTAAAAATAAACCAAAATATGAGATTTTTGCTGTGTTTATTTTGAAAAAGAACAAGAACATATTATTAACAAAACAACAGAGAGCCTTGTGAGATATTGAAAATGAATAGGTCTTACTGCTTTAGTGAATCACATCCCACTATAGTGGAGTCTTTCTTGAAAAACAGAGAAAAGATTAGGTGTGTAGAACCTAATCTTGGAGAAGACCCAATAGAAATATATTGCTGGCCATGCTCCTAATGTCCATTATATTAGTGTTCACAGTATATTAACTGCTACACTTTGGTGTAATCATGTGATAACGTAAATTCTTTGTATGAACAAGAACACCTCTATAGATGTTCCCTTTGGAGCAATGGGTTCAACTGCAAGAGATTCCACCTAAACACTAGGAAGAGCTTCTTAAAGGTAAGATCTGTTCAGCAGTGGAATATGTTTCTATGGAGCATGGTAGAGTCACCTTCTGTGGAGATTTTTAAGCAGAGGCTGGAAGTCCATCTGTCAGGATTGCTTTGCCTGGCAGTTCTAGCATGGCAAGAGGTTACACTGGATAGCTCTACTGGCCCCTTCAAATTCTATGATTCTATGAGTGTTGGGTTTCAGAAGCATGTCTGTAGTAGACAATTCAATAGAACCTGATCAGGGAAAGAGCAGGAGTCTTTTCTAGCTAATGCAACAACAGTCATGTGTGCATCCTTACAATAGTCAAGTTAAAGGCTTTGAATCCCTTACTGAGCCTGCATGAGTAGCAAAAGAAAGAGACAAGGCAAAAGTAGCTAAGCCTTGCCAGATATCACTTGCATGTTAAAGTAACCACATAGATCTATATGTTTGGCCTCCAAAATAGAAAAGAAGTGGAGGCTACTGAAAGAAAAGAAAAATCATCCCTGGATGCAGTTTGGAAGGAGCCTTGCAGTAGTCTCTTGGAGATTCCAGATGCTTTTATTTAACTCATTCAGTGGATGTTTCATTTCACATTTCCCTATATAGCAGAGTCTCACTTATCTAACCATAGCTCATCCAATGTTCTGTTATCCAACGCAACCTGCCTCTCACCCGGATCCACAGCTGTTTCAATACTTTGCAATATTTTGGTGCTAAATTCATAAATACAGTAATTACTA